CCAAACCTCAATAGGTGTACCATCAAGTCCTAAAGCTTTCATAGTCTTCATTTTTTTAATGCCTCATTTACCTCCGACATCCTAATCCTAAGAGAAATTATGCTCTCTCTAAATCTTCCTATGATTTCTAGTCTTCTATGTCTAAGCTCCCTATATGATTTTCACTTCCTAGAGCCTTCATTCTTAATCATTTAATATGTTTAACATCTCTAGTTTTGGTTTTCTCTTAATTTAGAAAGTTTATATATATACTTTTCTCTTCATTATTTGTGTCTAGTTTAGAGTAAAGATCATTATGCTTTATACTTGGCATCTCTTACCCTCTTTTTTAACATCTTCGTTTTTAGTTTTTTGCCATGTTTTGTAGCACCTTCTTTTTGCTTTTACCACAATTTGGACCTCATCATTCCACTACCAAGTTTCTTTTGCTAATGGTACATTTACCTCTTAATTCTCTAAGAACCTCAATAGCTTCCTTTTTATTATGTTCTACCATTGTATTCTCTTGTTTAATCTTCTAAATTCCACACTACTTTTAATATTTTTTTTTAAACAAATCTATCGTTTCACCTTTCAAATTCCACCATCTAGTTATTAGATTTGTAATCTCTTTCTTATGTCTTATATTGTTTTTAATACATTATCTACCACCATTATCCTACGTTGTATGGTTAAGCTCTCGTTTGAAATGACTTTACAGTCCTTGCATAGTTAGGAAAAAATATGTTTGACTTTTATTTAATTGGATTTTAAAAGTTATTAAATATTTATCTTTGCTTTTGAAATACATATTTGCTATCATAAGATCATATGCCATAGCAAAATTTAAGACATAATCTTTAGCATTATTCCTATTTTCAAATTTATGTCCACCATGTAACCTCTCATATCCAACATGATCTTTCCCATGTGGCCATTAAAGTCTCCTCCTATGCATACTCTTTTTCATATAGTATTGCTATCATTGGTTGTCCATATCCTTCCAAAATTGAGCTTTAATGCATTCATCTAATCCTATTTGAGGTGTACATGGGCTAACAATATTAATTATACTTCCCTCTATTACAAGTTTAATTAATATTATTCTATCTACTTTCCTAAGTACTGTTACTACTTTTTGTTTAAGATGCGAATCTATTATTATTCCTATTCTATTTCTATGTCTATCTTTTTTTGTATAATAGATTTATATCTTGTATTTTTTACTTCTCTCACTTCAGAGCCTACCCACTTAGTTTCTTGTAGGAATGCTATATTAACTTTTCTTCTAATCATAGTTTCCACTAGCACCATGTCGTTTTTTACTGCTCCTATATTCTAAATTGCTAATCTAAGTTTAATATCCTTGATTACGTTCCTTACCCATGCTTGTCGAGAGTGGCGCATGAACCATTGTGAAATTTTCACCAAATTCGGGCGACTAAAATGCACGCTCTCGCCCATTTTTCGAAACATCCGGTTGCAAGTGTAACACATCTCTCAGGGAATGCCCTAGTTTTTGCACGAATATTTTTTAGATTTATGTTCATATTTGATTTGATGAGTTTTAAGCTGGTTTTTAGCTACCTAATGCAATCCACTTCTTTTATCTGGTCTTGGGGCTGCCAGTGCACAACAGCACAAGTGTACATTGGCGGAGTTATATATACTTTGTTTGTCAAAGCATAAACTCCAACCATGTTCTACCTATCTACATTCCAATTTTGTATGCTCCAACTCGTTGATTGATTGTTAGTCCAACCATTTGCCAACAAAATTTGAAAATAATTTTCTTCCGCCTCTTGAACGTTAAATGTACCACTTTAAACCTTTGCACAAGCTTTTGTTGCACCATGTACTCATTCCTACATATGCATAAACTCTTATTTTTGCTCAACATCATTAACGATACACAAAAGCTTCTGCTAACTATGCCATTTAAAATCAACATCATTTTTTTTATATCTCAGCATCATTCTACATGAAAGGTTATTAGGCAAGAACTTGGAGATTAGATACTAGAAGATTGTCATAATCAAGGATCAAAATTTCGTTTCGAAACGTTTCCGTTTTCAAGGAGACCGAAACGAATAAGTGATGAAATTAAAATTCTAATATTTTGAGATATTCCATAATGTTTCGAAATATTTTGTAATATTTTAATGCATTTGTACAATTATTTCAGAATGTTTCAAGGTATTTCAAGATACTTTAATATATTTCGACCAATGTTTTGAAAAAATAATTTTTAAAGTTTTTATTTTTTTTCATTATATTTTCGAAATAGGTCAAAACGTTTCCGATGCAGGTCAACACGTTTCCATTTTTTAGGTGACTGAAACAATATACTGAAACGAAAATTTAATGTTTTAAACAATACATTTCATATGTAGTTTTATCCAGAGCTGGAAGGGATTGATGTTGAAGATTGATGATAAAGGAATATAGTAAACATTCCTTGGATTATTGTCCTCAAAGATATTTTAGGTGTATAGGCTTTTGTTTCTTTTATTCACCAATTAAAATCCTGATCTAGGTACTTGGATCCAATATTTTTTGGAGACTATCCCGACACTATGCGAGAGAGACTTGGAGATCGGCTTCCAGATTTCTCACAAAAAGATAAAGAGTTGCTTAGGATGTCAATAGACTTTGTTGGGCTGAATCATTATACAACAAGGTTTGTTGCTCATGCAACGGCAAATCGCATAGGCCATGCTTTTTATAGAGTCCAAGAGGCTGAGAGAATTGGTAACTATTCAAACCTTTAAGACTTATTTTCAAGTTATTGTTACTTTATAAATGTTTCAATTTTACTCTTCATACAATGTCTTATTGTTATGTCTTATTTTGCCATCAGCTGAGTGGGAAGGAGGGGAAGTGATCGGGGAGAAGGTACTGGTCATTGCATTCATTCTCTTCATACATACATATGGTGTGAGAACACATTTATTTAGTGATCCCACTTTGCTGAAAATCGTTATACATGTGCAGGCAGCATCACCTTGGCTTTTCATTGTTCCTTGGGGAATTCGGAAAATTCTAAATTACATTGCGCAGAGATACAACAATCCCCCAATATATGTAACTGAGAATGGTACGCGCATAATTAATAGTTTTTGCTCCAAACATTATTCTTGTAGTTTATCTGGCATGAGACCCTAATTCAAGTCCAAGGACAACACCTTTAGGTATTGTCAAAGGTTAGTGTTAAGAGATATCTATGTGGGGTATTTATGTACTTTGAGTCTGATTATTATAAACACAAGGTTAAGGGAAAAAACCTAATTCTCTCATTAGGTTTCACTATTTTCATAAATATATTCTCTTTCTCTCTACTTTCTTCTACTCTCTTTCACAATTGAACTTCGTATCAGAGCTCAATCCGTAAGTTGATTTTTTTTCTTCAACTTCTTGTTTTTAAACGATGAAAGTCTACTAGTTTTTTTCTATTTTTTGTGGAACCCTAAAAAATAAAAGTAAAAATAAAAAATACCAGCATGAACGACTAGGGTTTGTCTATTCCTAGACAATTTTCATATTTTTTTGGAGTTCATTCGATGTATTTTTTCTTTTTTCTATTTTTTTGGAATTTTTTGTCTCGTTTTTCAAAATACTTGATTCTGATTTGTTTGATGCAATTCTGATGGCTGGCATAGCTCCCTTGGGGTTTGAAACTACCTTCTTGCCCTTACCTAATTGTTGTTTTATCCATTTCAATTTTTTTTTTTGCCAGATCTGATGATTTTCTTGTGTTTTTTTTGCTAAAACAACTTTTTGGCCATTTTATCCTTTTTTTTATCTGATTTGGTCCCATTTTTTAGTTTATTGTGTGGGTAACTTGTCCTTTGGATGGATTCCTTAGGCTTTGTGGGTGATTGAACCAATCTTGATATTTGGGGGTGCAAGAAGACATGGGAGACGATAATAAAACATTCGGAGGCAGTCAGTCGAATGGGTTGAGTTGGGTTGGGACTTTTGGAGAAAGTCCATCCCTTCAGATTAGTCCGGTTAGATTGGATGGTACCAACTATCTGATCTAGTCACGATCCTGTAGTCTTGGCTATTACTGGACGTAGCCTTACTGGTTATATCACTGGAACTCTCAAGGATCCTATGACAGATGGACCAACACAAGAACAATGACGATCAGAGAATGCTTTTGTCATGACTTTGCTAATTAACTCAATGCAACCATCTATTAGTCGCCCTTTTCTTTTGATGGACACGACACAAAAGATTTGGTCTGCAACTGCCCAAACATACTTATAAAAGGGTAATGATGCACAGGCCTGTGAAGTGAGGAAGAAGATTCTTGGGTTAGATTAGAAATATAAATCTCTTGCTGAATATTATGTTGAATTGGGAAGTTTGTGGCAAGACCTTGACTATTATCAAAGTTTGTAGGTTGTTTGTACTGTAGATACAACTACCTTTCAACAAATGATGGAGAAAGTACGGGTATATAATTTCCTTGCTAGCCTTAACATAGAGTATGATCAGATTCGAGTTTAGGTTTTTTGGTCGATCCTAGTCGGGATTGTTCTGCTTTACCTGCTACTCCTACTTCAAAGGATGGTAAGGTCAGTCAGTCCAAGACTGGTGTAAAGACTAGAGTTGGTGATTGTGATCTATTGAAATGTGATTACTGTAGGAAAGCACTCCATACTAGAGAGCATTGTTAGAAGTTGCATGGTTGTCCTACTCGAGGTAGTGGTGGTACTGTGCAATCTTAGGCTCATATTTCTGAGATTTCCTCGAGCTCTTCTATTGATACTGGTGCTTGCTCCTAGGATGAGATACACGCTTTCAGGTGTCTGATGGCTAGACTTGACACTTCATTCTCCTTAAAATATAGTATGATCAAATTCGAGTTTAGATTTTTGGTCGATCCTAGTCAGAATTGTTCTGCTTTACCTGTTACTCCTACTTCACAGGATGGTAAGGCCAGTCAGTCCAAGACTAGTGTAAAGACTAGAGTTAGTGATTGTGATCTATTGAAATGTGATTAATGTGGGAAAGAACTCCATACTAGAGAGCATTGTTAGAAGTTGCATGGTTGTCCTACCCGAGGCATTGGTGGTACTGGGCAATCTTAAGCTCATATTTCTAAGATATCCTCGAGCCTTTCTATGGATACTGGTGCTCGCTCCTAAGATGAGATACACACTTTAAGGTGTCTGATGGCTAGACTTGACACTTCATTCACCATAGCTTCTCCCTCTGCACCAATTTCCTTTACCTTTGTTCACATAGGTAGTTCAACATGTGCTCTCAGTATCTCTTGTTTTCCATGGATGATTGATTCTGGAGCTGCTGACTATATGACAGGTTCTTTTTATTCGTTCTATTCTTACTTTCCTTGTTCTAGAAAGGATAAGGTAAGAGTTGCTAATGACTCTTTATCTTTTGTTTCTAGAAAAGGATTTGTACAGTGCTTTCCCTATATTTTCTTTTCATTTGTTCTTCATGCTCCAAATTTATCTACCAATTTACTTTTCGTCAGTAATCTTACTAATTTCCTAAATTGTTTTAGCACATTTTTTCCTACTCATTGTGTTTTAGGATCTGGCAACACGAAAAACGATTAGCAGTGGTAGAGCATATGATGGTTTGTATTTATGGAATGTTCTCTTCATCTTCATTGCCATTTGGTCAGGCTCTACGAGTGTATATTGTATCTTCTATTCCTCTCTTGCTTCAGTAGTACCGCTGTTTAGGACATCCCTCTTTTGGTGATCTGGAGAAATATTTTCCTACTTTAGCTAAATCATGTCTTGGAAGTAGTTTTATTTGAAATGTTTACGAGTTTGCAAAGTATAAACGTTCATATTATCCTTTAATTAATAAAAAAAGTGATTTTCCTTTTGTGCTTATTTATTCTGATGTGTGGGGTGTCTTGTTTTGATTATCGTTGGTTTATTACATTAATTGATTGTTGTTCTCTTGTCACTTGGGTGTATTTACTTGAAACTGGAGTGAAGTCTTTTCTTGCGTTAAAACTTTTCATAAGGTGGTGGAGTGATAACTGAACCAAATACATTGATAGTGAATTTCGAGTATATGCACAAATCGTTATCTTTTTGAAACTGCCTGTGGTCTTATGTTCATTATGAATGTTCCCATAACTTTTGGGGGGATGCTAGTTTTATTGTTGCATATCTTATTAATCACAGGCCCTCTTGGGTTCCTCAGTTTAAAGGTCCTCTTGAACTTCTTTCCAAGTCTCTCTCTTCTTCCTTTTCTCCCAACGTATTTGGGTGTGCTTGTTTTGTTCAGGTCTCCTCATTCTCAAGGCAAATTTGACCCCAAGGTTGTGCAATGTGTCATTGTTGGATACTCTCCTACTTAGAAAGGTTATAGATATTATGATCCACAGTCACACAAGGAATATGTTAGCGCGGATGTCACATTTTGGGAGTCCAAACCATACTTTGGTCTGTCTCAGTCTTTTATCTAGGGGGAGACCGGTAATGTGGAAGAGAGATTAATATATGATCCACACGAGGAACTCTCATTTTTTCTCCTTCTGTTGAGAGAGATTATTTGTGGTGAGGTAGAGAAAGATAAGTGTACTGAAGAACATAATACTAGTGGATGGTTGGATCGACCTAATTAGAAGACCTATTCTAGGTGTCCAACAGAGTAGACTGCCAATGTGCTACCAAGCCCAGTATTATCCCTAACTCTAGTATCAGATTCTTTCACAGAAGCTTCAAAAGATAAGTCTCCATCTCCTGTGGTTAGAAGCCGATGATTCTTCTCTTCCTATTGCTCTCAGAAAGGGTGTGAAATCTTGCACTCAACACCCCATTTCTATTTTTATTTCTTGTAACTTTTTGTTTTCTTTGTATGTTGCCTTTGTTTCGTCTTTGTCTTTTGTGTTTGTTCCACAGGGTTGGAAGGAACCTCTTGCATACCCCAAGTGGAAAGAAAGATATGGTAGAGAAAATGAAATCTCTAAGCAAGATTGACACTTGAGAATTAACTTCACTTCCAGTTGGGAAGACATCTGTAGGTTGTAAGTGAGTTTTTATTGTTAAACAGAAAACAGATGGAGCAGTTAAAAGATATAAAACAAGATTGGTTCACAAAGGTTTTACTCAAGCTTATGACATTTATTATCAGGAGACCTTTGCCCTCATTGCAAAGATGAATTCTATTCTCACTCTTCTGTCTTGTGTTGCTAATCTGGGTTGGTCCTTATAGTAACTAGATCTGAAGAATGCATTACTTCATAGGGACTTGGAGGAAGAGGTTTATATGGACATTTCATTGGGTTTTCTTCTTATTCTATTATTGGAAAAGTTTGTAAGTTAAGGAAAGTATTTTATGGCTTGAAACAGTCTTCTAGACCTTGGTTCAAAGCAATGATGGGGTTTGGATACAAACAAAGTAATGCAAATCACACTATGAACATAGCGGTGATAAGATTACTATTCTTATTGCTTGTGTATGACATAGTGGTTATGGGCAATGATGTGAAGGAGATGTCTCACCTGAAATTACGCTTGGCAAAAGAATTTGAGATCAAAGATTTAGGTTCATTGAAGTATTTTTTAGGGATTAAGGTTGGTAGATCCGATAAGAGCATCTATATATCTCAAAGGAAGTATGTTATTGATCTACTTGAGGAGATTGACATGTTGGGATGTAGACCTATAGACACCCCAATTGAGATTAATCATAAGCTGAGTAGTGGCATTGGTGACTATGTGGATAAAGAAAGGTACCAACAACTTGTAGGGAGATTGATATACCTAGTTCATACTCGACCAAATATTTCTTATGTAGTGGGAGTTGTTAGTCAGTGTATGCATGACCCTCGTATAGTGCATCTAGATGATGCTTACTAAATTTAGGGGGATCTTAAATTCGCTCCAGGAAAAGGCATGTTGTTCTCTAAACATGGTCACTTAAGGTTGGAGGCATCACTGGATATTGATTGGGCATGCTCAGTTATTGATAGGAGATCTACCTCTAGATACTGTACTTTTATAGGAGGGAATTTGGTTACATGGCGTAGTAAAAAAATAATCCGTGGTGGCTGGATCCAGTGCAAAAGCAAAATATGAAGCTGTGGTGAGCTTGTGTGGCTTCAGTGTTTGATATGAGATCTAGGAATTTTTGTTGAGGGGCATATGAATTGTATTGTGACAACACGGTTGCTATTGATATTGCATATAATCTAGGTCAGTATGATAGAACCAAACATATTGAGATCGACAAACATTTCATCAAAGAGAAACTAAATAAAGGGGGGTTATCAGTATGCCATTTGTGAGATCAAGAGATCAGTTAACATATTTTTTTACTAAAGGACTTAGTAGTAAGGTTTCTCATCTTATTGTTTGTAAGTTGGACATGAGAGATATATATACTTCAACTTAAGGGAGAGTGTTAAAAGATCTCTGTGAGGGGTATTTATGTACTTTGAGTCTTATTATTATAAACAAATGAGGCTAAGGGAGATAACCCAATTCTTTCATTAGCTCTCACTATTGTCATAAATGTATTATCTTTCTCTCTACTTGTTTCTTCTCTATCTTTCATAATTTAACTGTTATGCATATATCTTAGCTACCTCCCCTAGTCTCTGCTGTGGTGGGACCAGCAAGTGTAATGAATTTTTTTTCCCAATAATGAGGGAGAGGGGCATAAAAGTGAGACTAGAAGCTTGGTAAATAGTATGATATTCTCTTAAATTAATGCTTATAGTAAATTTAAGCTTCCCTTTTTGGCAACTTTACTAGATTTTTTTTTATAAAAAATAAACGCATATAATCATTTGACCGAAAGAAACAATCCGCATCTTTTGAAACGGGAAGAAACTACAATATGAGTGAAGTATGATCAACTAGTAAAAGTTGGTTAATAAGATAGATTGTTAATGGTCAGAAAATAACTTCCTGCATATGTTTGCTTATCCTCAAAAAAGTAATTATAGTCATTTAGTTATATCAAATAAGTATTATTCATTGCTTTAAACCCTATTGTCTTCCGGCTACAGGTATGGATGACGAAGACAAAGGGAGTTCCTCAATCTCCGAGATGCTAGATGACAAAAAAAGAGTCAGTTACTTTAAGGGATACCTTGCTGCTGTTGCCCAGGCAATTAAGTGGGTTATCTCACTTCGTACCATTTTGTTGAGGGTGCATGTTTCATATGTCCTTATTTCTGTTGGAGTTGAGGGGTAGTCCAAGATTTTTATGCCTGTCTTAAGTTTATATGCATCAAAGTTCATGTTTATTTCTTTGATTTTGAATGCCTGTATGATTGATGCATCAACATCCACATATGCTTCTCTGAGGTCCTCAACATGCATCAACATTCATATTTGCTTCTTTTGTTTGTCTATTTTGAACTCCTCAACAATATCACAATAACTGAATAAGGATGCTATCAAATTTTGTCTTAACCCAAATTGTTGGATCACTATAATAAAATAGTTTACAAATCCTTCCCCGTATTGGTGCCTTGTGTTGTTATTGATGACTGGTTAGTGATGCACTTAGATGGGCTTATATCATCGTGAAAGAATCTAAGCTGCATGCAGGACATAACCTTTTTTTTTTGGTGAGTAAGTTGGACAAGACTTGTTATAATATGTCACTTAAAAATACACCCATCTATGCATCAGGTAGAGATAGATGGAAAAAATTGGACTAGTGCTTCCCTAAGATCCTTTGGAACATCTCCACCCAAAAATGTGAAAAATAAAAATAAAAGAGAAAAAGGGTTCAAAATCTGATAGCTCTCATAAAAAGAGTGGATAAGGGTAAAGATCATTGTACTATTGTTTAAGCAAATTATTAATTCTTAGAAGTTTATGGTGTGACCAATTCTTAGGTCTCTTCTTGCTGCCTTAGCACTGTATAAGTTCATGATGAGATGAAGGTAAATTGGTTGATTCTCTTGGCCAATATAGCTCAGATGTGTGCTTCAATGGTTTTTCTTTGTCTGTATGTGTGGGCATGAATGTCTGCTTGTTTGATTGTTCATTTATAGACTTGTGTATAGACTTTGTTAGAGAAATAGTTGGAAATTGAATGCAAATACATCAAAAAATGACTAAAGTTTTTCTTATGGAATCCATGAACAGGGATGGAACTGATGTGAGGGGTTACTTTGCATGGTCATTAATGGACAACTTTGAATGGCAGCTAGGTTATACCAAGCGTTTTGGTTTGATTTATGTGGACTACAATAATGGGCTTTCGCGGCACCTAAAATCTTCTGCTTATTGGTTCTTGCGGCTCTTAAGAGAAGAAGGGAAATGTGGCAAAGATGACTAGTAGACATTCATCTTTATGGTCAGCCACAAAATATTTATATCAAGCCATTTCTGAACTTAAGTAGCTTCCACACCTTGCATTGTTTAACAAGTGATTTATATACTGCTACAGGTCAAACAAAATTTATATGTCACTGGCAGAAGTTTATGCCAACTACTCTCGCATGAACATATCCCTTTTATATTCTTACTACTGTGGTTTGAAGCTTGTCATGTCTCTATACACTTCTTTCCAGTCTCTATACACTTCTCTCCATGGTAGAGAATACTTTGCAGAAGTTTGAAAATTCAGGTTTGGCCAGAAGGTGTTTATCTGAATTCTTTGCACTATCAAGGTTGGAAAATCTGATTTGACATTCCGTAGACCATATTATAAATGTGTCTACTCATTTGGACCCTAGATATGTGCTTCATTTTCCTTTTTTTTTCTTTCCCCCTAATTGTCATCTACTTTGATCTAATTCAAAACTATATTAATTGTTTGATGTAGATGTTTGCTTGAGTGAGGATGGTCTTGGCACAAGGTTACTTTATTGTGACTTAAGCGTCATGGGTTTGGGTCAAAAAAATACTCTTCGTATGTGGAGATAAAACTGCATACATCAACCATCCTCACTCCCTAGATACCGTAATCGCTTCTTCAAGCTTCGCCCAACCTATACAAGACTAGGTGTTGCTTGCTTTCTCTTAGCCACTAGTACTTATCTAGTGGTCGGCATTACTACGTGCTCCTCCTTGCCCCTGTTTAAGAATTCAAAAGTCACTTTTTGATTATGTTGTGATGCTTTGGTTTTGAAGGTTCTTGGTGTCTTGAGTTTATGGATGGATTCAGTCAATGAAAGTCCTTTCAAATCAATAAATATTCAACATGTTGTGACCACTTAAGCTTGGTTGATTTTGTCAAAAAAAAAAAAAAATTTTGGGGTTTCATTGATTGGTACATTTCCGGTGCTGGTAAGATTGGGACCTTAGTTGTCTGTCTCCTGTTTTCCGGCCGATAAGAATTTTAAGATTGACCAGCTAGTTGGCTTTGTGCAGTGCCTAGTATACTAAGTTGCTCGTCTATGAGGGTGCAAAATGTGTTTCCATTGTGTATGTTGGACAATGCGAGGCTATTTTAATATTCATTTCCCTTTTAACTAAAGATGACGGTGTATGGCTTTGTGTGGTGTGCATCTCTAGTAAGGGGCATACTTGTATGAGGGTCTACGTGATGTTTCTTTTGGCAATGTTCTTTACGATATACAGGTATAGTTGTGGAGGAACATGAACAAATAAATTTTAAGGGCCATTATGTTGATGCAGTGTAAAAAGTATCGGGTTACCAACACTGACGATGTGGATTCAAATTGGACAGTTACCCTGTGAAATAACTAAATTAGTACAAAGATTATGTATGTATGTAGTTTAACTCTCGACTAGGGCAAGTTGACACATATTGAGGTCTAAAGAGATAAATTTAAATGAGGGTTTTTGATTTTTTTTAATACTAACGTAATTTAAAAAAAAAGAAAAGAAAAAAATTCTATCTAGTTTAATTAGACATTCTTATTTAAATTATTATATTCTCAAATTTTACTATCATATCTTATCAATTACTGACATCTTTTTGTTTGATACTTTTAATAAATTAATCAAAAGATTATTTTGAGGACAATTACTTTTTTTAACTTTTTTTATTTTTACGTTTTTGTATTTGGGTGGCTGTTCATAAAATATATGAAAATACATCTAATCAAAAATGACCTATAATTAAAAAAATATGCTTGAATTTAAAAAAAAAAGCCCTAAAAATATAAAATAATAAAATATAATTTATCAGTGTTACTTTAAAATTTGATATTTGATTTTTTCTTGATCAAAGGTTGGTTATCACTTTATTGTGAAGCACGGGGAGAGGTAAATTTTGAATTTTGTGGGCTGATTTATGGATTAGTCTAGACCATTGAACATAAAACTTTGAGAAAAATAGAACTCAGTAAAAAAAATTAGATTTATTTTAGATAAAATAAATTAAAAAAAACTTATTTCGTCCAGGGTACATTTTTGTAGAAAAAGACCAAAAGGTCATTTAATAAAAGTAAAAAAAAAAATGCAAGGTGCAAGTTGTTATTTTCTCTCTTATACTCTCTCACTCTCTCCCTATTTTTTACTTTCTCTCTCTGCCTATCTGTTCCTCTCTCACTTTCTCTCCCTTATTTTCTCTCTCTAGTGCGTACTCAAGACCCAATTACTTTATCTCTCTCTCAATTTGAAATTGATTTAAACGTTGTTGTATTGATATTTTAAAAGAGATATGCCAACAATAACATAAATAATTTTTTATTTTTTTTGAAATATGTAAAAAATTGACATAATCGAATACCAACGTTATACCAAACAATTATTTCGATATAAATTAGATATAAATATTACAGCAAATAGTTACACTTACACTATGATACATTATAAAGTTACAGGTGTGTTCTAATAGACTAAAGAGTTTAACCAAATAGGGTTACGAAATTATGACACTATAGCCAATGCATAACTAATTAATAATTTTTTTTTTTTCAAATATGTAAAAATTTAACATAATCGAATATCATTGATCGAGAAAGTTCGACACAAAGCGACAAGAGACTTCGAAACTTGTCTACTAGTTTGAAGCCTAATGATTCATTATTGAAATTCATCCATAATCTGTGATTCTAGGATTTAAGTGATTCAACGGTTTTCAAAGAAACCTATGAAGCAAAATATGTCAAGAAAAATTTTCTTTAAAGGCTCGTTCCAAAACTTCAACAAACTGTGGTTTCAAAATCTTCCATAACCGCTTTATCGAAATTCAGGTAAGTAAATCGTGCTTTATAAATAAAAAAATATTAGCGCAACATAATTCTTTACATATTTTTATATTTCAGTTTGAAAAAGTAGAAATCAAATTGAAATTATTGGATTTATAACAAGAACCGAATAACAAAATGATGAATAATGTATTATATAGATTTTATACAAAAACACAGATTTAAAAATTAAAAACAAAAGGTGAAAAAGGAAACATGAAAAATGATAAATTTGTTGTCTTCAAATGTATTTTTATTCTCCTACCTCATATATGTTATATTTTCTTATTGTTGTAGTTTTTCTTTGAACAAAAAAAAAAAAAGGGAGGGGTAACTAGTAGGTACTAATCCCCCCTAGGCATGACCATGCAGGTCTCCCAATTGTGAAAATATTTAGTTTGAGTTATAGTTACTAACTCAGGAGGGCAACCCATCAGTACAACACCACCAAAGCTAAGTTACAAATTGCATTATTCCCGTGGAACAAATCCTATTTAATAATCACATGAGAATTAAGGACAACGCTAATAGGTATACCTTACCTGTAGACCACTAGCTCAGCTAGTCTTATTATTGTAGTTCAGTGTATTGTTAATTGACATATTTCTGTGATGGTCATATAATGCCAAAAATGATTTACAAATATAATTTAAAAGTTCATATGTTACTGTTAAAGTTATAAAATAGTGAAATATTAGGGTTGTCAATTTTCGACATGACACGAACCGAACACGAAATTAATGGGTTGACCACGAAATTAAACGAGTTAATGAGTTAAAATGAGTCAATATGTTTAAACACGAAAAAAATCATATCAGGTTTATTTCAAAATCATATCAATTCGATTTTAACCTGATTAGCCTGTATATTTTAAACAGGTTGACATGATTCAGACACGAACCCGACCTAACCCATTTATGACAGTATAATTTGCTTATTATGTATGACTAATGTGTTCTTAACATTATTACTTATTAGTTTTTGTTTTTATTATGATAATTGACAGTATAGTTCTTAACATTATTATGACAGTATACTAGAATATTTCACCCCACAAAACATGTAAATACAACCCACAAAACAAATTAGAGTGACATTTTCATATAACAATACAATGTCACTTTATCTCAGGTGCTTCATGTAACACATCATATTGTTGTTGCAAATCATATACAACATTAAATGAGCAAAAAGAAATGATAATCGTATTAAACTAACACACTCATAACATGAGTGCAGTATATCCACCATCACCCACAAAACATGTCACTATAACCCACAAAATAAATTAGAGTGACATTTCTTTGTAACAATACAATGCCACTCTATCTCAAATGCTTCCTATAACACATCATATGCTGTAGCAAATTATATACTACATTAAATGACCAAAAACACATGTCCCCGTATTATATTAATCCACTCATAAAATGAGTGCAATATATCCACCACCACCCGCAAAATTAATACAAAAAAATGCTAGTTATGAGCCAAAAGTTACGTGTCATAAACGTTTGGATCATACATCCACAATTACATAAGGCACACTCAATCATTTTTTAGCAAATCTATTCCCAATGTTGTTTAGTTCATTGTATACTTCTTCAGCCTAAGAACTTTTATCCTTCTTCAACCAAAGTCGACACTGCATTGGTAATGTAGTTAATATCATTACATTCGGTGATTTCCAATAAAATAATATGTGACACCCCAAAGTCCGGGTGTCTGTAATTATCCGATTGGTTATCCATCGACCTGTGTAATACTGGTGGATATCGTGTAATTTGATACCACACCGTTATGCCCCATTTCTTGGGATCCATAACTTAACAAAATTTGGACAGAGTCTCCTTTGTACAAGGAGCTCTACTCAAAACGCAACCTGTACAACATTGACCACACCGGGTCTATCTATCCATTCACAATTGTATAGTCTCGAATACTACCATAATCATTATCAGTACATACATTTATTCGTAAAAGAATAAATGTCCCAAAAGAGTCCCATATACATGCCTTTGTAAATATAAACAATGTTTGTTACAAAATTATACAAGGCCAAAAGTAAGTATAAACAAGAGACTACAATGTCAAAATAAAAGCCACAGACCGGCTCTGTCGTCAAAGCGGGCTCATGGCCTCGCCTTCGGTGGAAGCCTGTGCGATACCTGAAAAA